TCTCAAGATCTTCTGGATTCTTAGTGAGATTTGTGTTAACGACATAAACTGTAAATCTAGCAATTTGGAATAAGACTTCATAGTTTAACACACAAGGGCATAATTCATCCCTGACTGATCAAATAATCACTTAGACGGGTATACCATATCCGTCAGAATTTTCAATCCATAAGTGAACGCCTCAAAACAAGTTAAGAGGGTGTTTCGTGGTTTTGGAACTATTTGAAACAATCCATGTAATTCTTCGAGAACTTCCATGTAAATCTCCGTATCTATATCCCCATGGAGAAAACACTAACCACATTTCATAATGCTGCTATCAATCACAGGACGTTTGAGAGAAACCTTGAGCCGTAAGGAGTGCATCGTATTACACGACTTCATTCATCTCATAACGCTTCCTTTCCCACTTGTAACACAACAGGGTTACCTTGGGCAATGTAGGAACGACAGGTCCAATACACACTTTGGTAAGGAATTTGACCTGGATTGTAACTTTAGTTGTCCAATCAGTTCTACGTTGTCACTTAATCAACGGAACATGGTTCAATATCGTCGCTTTTCATTTATGTCGGTAGCTACCATATAAATGAAAACATCATCAATGATAATCTCATTTCAATTCTATTTAGCTCATCCAAACTAGTATACTAGACCAAGAACTTTAAGTCTTAGGAGAAATCCAGATTAATCTCATGAGATGAGAATGATTTGAGACAGCGATCGAGTTTAGATTCATTGTTGTGCCGTGTCTTCCTCTTCCAGGGAAGTGAATCCTACGAACTAAGTGATCTATCGTGCTCTAGGCCAAGACAGATTGATTGGCTATTAACCGGTGTACCGGACCGTCCAACATGGGCGTCTAAATCGTCCAATAGGGGAGGCACACCCTCTAGGGATGTTGACTCGACGTCCGTTAAGTACGTCTATACTTGCAAACATGTTTGCAGCTGGTATATGATCTCGTCACTTGAGCTAGATCAGAGGAATGCGTCTGGAGCAACATTCTAAAAACTAGAATTCATTGCACTTTCTTATCACACTTGTGCAGTATGGGGATCGAGATGAGACATAGTGGGCAAGGTCTACGCAAATTCACACCGTTCTACATGAACGTTGACGTTTTTATCTCCCCCTAATTGTGAGAAGACTGTCTCATTAAAGTGACAACCTGCAAATGAGCGGTAAAGAGATCGCATGCAAGGGCTCGAAGAGAGCTAGTGTGAAGGAGAATCATGATCAACAAAAGATACACATCCTTCATTGAGAACCCATGGTGGTATGTTGCGACGACGCAACTTGGCATATAGGATGCACACCTAAATGCGTACATACGAAAATCGTCAGGTTCGTACCTAGTAACCAACTGTAATGTCATATAGGTTAGGTGGCAATGGGCCTCAAGGCGGACTAACATAACGGCATACAAGGATTGCATAGTCTTAGGCAGAAACTGAAAACTTGGTACATTTACCAAAATTCGGGCTATCATTTAAATTGCGCTTTATGATCACTAAGCGAGGCTATTTGGGGTGAACATGAGAATTAGATGTTCAATTATAAACCCAAAACTACATGCAATACTTTATCGAAAATCATAGATATAAATTCTTTGGCATTATCCAGTCTCCCAGACTTTAAGGGATAAGTAGGGTGGTGAACCCTTAATCGGCCAAGAGGTTTAGCAGTAATGTGTGTGGACAAACATGTGATCAGTTTGTCGATTCATCAACCAAAACCATAAGTATTTATATGGTCCGCGTTTTGGTTAGATTAGTCCACATATATTCCCTTGAATCCACTGTGAAAAATGGGTGGTTTCGTATCTTTGCGAGGAATGATATAGAAAATCAATTTTCCTAATAAGCAGGCTTAACAAAGTGTGCATGTAGGCACAAGATCCTTACTTCAAGTAAGGAGATGCGTTGTAGCATCATTGTTCGATCTAAGTGTCCCAAAAGGTCATGCCAAAGCAAGTAAACCGCTCAATCACCAGGCTTCATGCCGGGCACATATGGTGTATTCCCAATTAGGAGATAATCCATTGGCCCCAAATCAAAGCTTCATGCTCTTTTTTTTTTTTTTTTTTTAATTTTGGAGGTGGTGCAAAGATATTCACTCTGTTTTCTTTAGTGGTTTCATTTATGATCATTATCAACTCGAATATCCTTAAAAACTTAACGTCAGGGAGAATTTAAGGTCCCTTAAATGGTGATTCAGTATCATTCATACAACGAGGAGCGTGCCAATGCTCTTAGTCAGGTTGTATAGACCTGAAGTCGTTGTTAGAGATGTGATTTAGGTGTAAAGTTAGTGTGCGTAGTACGCATTCATCCAGACAACTAACTTTCCCACATTGCTACCTAATCACGTGTTTAATTGAATCGGTCACATGTATTAAGAAACACGATTCAATTAACTCATATTCGAGGACAATATCAATAAGATTATTGATAAGTAAAACATACAACAAACGTGAATGCAAGAAGATGGAAAAATGTTCACAAAGTAAACCAAAGTTACTAGGGTGGATTCGGCCAATAAGGCCATTCATGTCAAAATTATGCTCTGCCAATGATGTTTGGTGGAGCAAATTAGTCTCACATATTGACTACTAGAATGATACTCTTTAACAATATTGGTAGGGGCACGAACAGGTGCATAACCAATGATCTATTCTATCAAGGCGGAAGTAGATTCTGCAGGGTGAAGGTTTAGGAATATTATCCTTTATTCTTGAAGTTTTAGGTCTTAGGTACCAAGGATCACGATTCGAGCATGATGCCACACCTTGGCAGGCCCTGATTCTACCATATGTTTGTGGTAGTAATCAGATCCGAGAATTTGGTAAACTTCCACTTTCTACACTGCTGCTTCAAGGGCAAGTTAGAAGCATGGAAGGACAGGAAGAGTATTCTCCAGTCAAAATTCAATCGGATTTATAAACTTCATAATTGTACTAATTCATAGACGTAATCATGGTGTGCTGCAGGCAATGTTTTTCATGATTAGACAGTCCGTAGAAGCGAGCCAAAGAGCCATGGAATCCCTGTTCAAGAGGTACTTCCGTTCGTAATGCTTTAGACATAAGTCTTTGAGTGAAGATCATGGCGGAGGCTTATTCAGCTCTTCCATGCCATTGTTGGCTTCAATGGTTTCTCAGCTTCTTTAATAGTCAAGTGGAGATTCACGTCTTGTACCCCACATGAAATGGTTTCTATTAGAAACGTCCAAAATAAGGGAAATCGAACTTGTGAAGGTTCGGCAATCCACTGAATTGGAAGAAACAAGATTATGATTGGTGTTATGGGAATGAATCATCCATAAAAATCAAATTTAGAATATTCGAGTTCTAAGACATGGTTTTGATGAAAAACGTCGGGTTTTCTTAGGTGTATTTGTTTTATGAAAACTTCGGGTTTCTAAGGCACTAAATTTGAAACTACAGGTTCAATTTAGTTTATGAATGTTTAGTTCATAAAAGAGAGGTTCTTGTAAGAACATAGAATGTAATATGCTGATTTAAGTGTAGTGGATTTGAGGTTCTTCGGGAACTCAAGTGTGAGAGCTTTGGGACTACGAAAGTAAGTCAATGGTTCAAAGAAAAGAAATAAAATATTGAATCGTAAATGTCCAAAAGTGATCTTCAGGTCAATAATTTTGAATTCATTATCAGATTAATGGATTGCAGGTCACTTTTGATTAATTCAATAGATCGGGACTAAACGGGGTTGATCGTAGAAGCAAAAAATAAAATTTGTCAAGACACATTATTTAATGTTGGCTACAGGCCACACAATAAAATAGGCCCAAATTGGGCTCAAGTAGGTTACAATTGGCAGCCTAATAACATGCAAAGCAAGCTGCATGCTTGTTGCAGTGTTATAGGTCGAGGAAAAGTGATAGCCCAACAGCCTTAGGTTGTTGGCTGTGCAATCCAGGATAGGCTGGTAAGCGGGCTAAAACAAAAAGGAAGCCCAGGTGGGAGTAAGGAAAAACCAGCCCAGTTTCAGGTTGGCTACAGGTCGAGATTTGGGCTTGGAAAAGCTTATGTGCAGCCCGGCGTACAAAGCAAGCTGGAAGCTTGCCATTGAATGTAGACCGATGGAGAATAACAGGACAAGCCTAGTCAGCTATTGGAGTCTTAAGTGTGGGCTAGAGGTGCTATAGGCCCAGCGATAATAACCTAGGCTTCCGGCCTAGTTTGTCACACGCGCAGTAAAGCCCAAAAAAAGGGTTGCTGTCTCACAGTTGCGTGGTTAGTTCCCCTTTTTTTCCTTCTTTTTTTTTATTCAGATTATTAGGGTTTTCAGAACCCAAAAATAATTATGCTTCTATTTTATTTTGTTTCTTTGACTCACAAATTCCACATAGCAAAAACTTCGTAATGCATGAAACAAATATATATATTGACAAATATATTAAACATATACAATATCTATGTTGGAAGGAAAATATAAACATAGGGGGTTCATGCATCATGGGGAATGTTTTCATGCTTGAAGGTCGTTTCAAATATTTTACTTTATGTTAAGCTTACTTGATTGACAGAAAACAGCAAAAGCCTTTGAATTTGTAGAAGATCATTCTCAGAAAGTCGGAATTGTATCTTCAATGCGTTGTATCACGTTCAACACAAAAAATTAAATTAAATCAATAACATGTAGATTAATTCAATAAAATAATTAAATTAATCATGAAAATAATGATTAAAACGTAATATTTCCCTGATTGAAGATAAAACTCTCTTTAACGCAGCGTCAAGAGCTTGCTGATAACGTGTTGTAGGCATAATTTACTAAACAATTATGGAGGCCAGAGAGAGAGAGGTGCGACATAGATAGAGAGAAGAGAGAGATGTGTAATTGTGGGTGTCTATTATTCCACCTCATTGTGCCTTTATTTATAGTAGTAGGGAATGTTAATTCCTTTCCCTTTAGGATTACAATTCTTAATATGATATTAACTACTAATAGGAATATAAGAGATATTCCAAAATATACTAGAATTTACACAATCACATTCCAAATCTAATAGGACTGCAACAGAAACAGTGTATAGCAAAGAACATTAAGTTTTAAGCACATCAACTCATGAAGCATACCAACATATATATGCAAAAAGAATGATACAAATACCAGCATACACATGTAAAAGCAATTATTAACACAACTAACAAACTTTTGTAATTTTAAAATTTTACACTATTTAACTGCCCGACTCACATTTCCCCTTTTTTTCTCTCTCTATTTGACCAAGAGCATTTTGCAACTCATATAAAGTGCTTCCATAACAATCTGCAGCAAAAGTGAAATTACAAATTAAACACACAAAACAGTAAAAGTAAAATATTTTTTTTTCCACTCAAAGCAATGCAGAACTGAAAAAAGCATAATTGTAAAAAAGATTAAATTTTTTTTACAAAACATATACAGTCTAAAACCCGACATTTATAAACAATTGCATTTTTTGTCAAAATTTTGTTTGCTTTACGTCCATAAGTTTGATTTCTTTTCAATGTTTTTTAGAGCTTAATGAAACCATAAAAAGACAAACAACAGCACTCTAACTGTTTTTGCAAACCTACAACTAGTTACACAAATAAGAATGCAGCATTTCTTCTAAAGCATGTAATTCTCCTCTTCCCATATTCTTCCACTTTCTCTAGCCAAATAAAAATTTCCGAAACCATGTACCAAAAGCTCAAAAGTGGGATTCAAAGAGTCAACAGGTTTAAATGCTATATTTTTATTAGGACTTCATAGTCTATTTAACACTTGGTTTCTCGAGTAGTAAGTTCCCCATTGTTTGTGTAGCTAATCTCACACGCCTACAACAAATAAAATAGTTCAATAATTTCAGTATAATTACCAAATTTTAACCATTCAAAACTAAATCTCCTTTTTTTGTACCCACTAAAGTACACATATGAATATCAAAACAAAAAACCCCCAATTATGATAGCATTCCCTTTCTATCTTAATTTTTGAAAAAGAAAACACAAATGGAAGAAAAAAAATTCACAAATTGATCTTGTAACTCATAACCACAGAGAGTAAAAAACACTTCAATTATACAAGGAGTAAAGCTACTTCCAGCGCAATAAATTTACAGTTTGGCCAAAGCAAGCAGAATGGAAGCAAATTGCTAACCCTTTTTTTTTTTTTTGTACATTGTATTTACAAATTTACTTGGGAGCAGCCTCTCCATAAAATGGGGGTAAGGCTAGCCGACATTCACCTCTTCCAGACCCTGCGTAAAGCGGGAGCCTTGTGCACTGGGTACGACCTTTTAAGAGGTCGCACTTGGTGCGATGGCAAGTGCCTTCGTCCATGAGCGGTAGGTCTCGGGTTCGAGACTTGGGAGCAGCCTCTCCATAAATGGGGGTAAGGCTAGCCGACATTCACCTCTTCCAGACCCTGCGTAAAGCGGGAGCCTTATGCACTGAGTACGACCTTTTTATTGTATTTACAAATTTACAGTGCCTAACAACAAACTGGTAGCTGGAAGGTGAAAAAACAATACTATCTTAATTGATCTTATACCTTAACCAAGTAAAACCAAAAATGCACGCTACCAGTACTATCTATAACTATAGAATAAGGAAATTTAGGTCTGAACATTTTCTATTTCCACGAAACAATTAGAATGAAAAATTAACTTGACAAAGAGACCTCAATGATCTAGCTCAATTCATCGTTGAAGACTTGGTTGAACTGTGATTCGCTCACTCCATCCCTAAACAAAAGAAAAGCAAACCAAGTTCAGCAAGAATTATGCATGATCTTTGTGAAACTATATAATGAATGGTACAACATTGTTAAAAAAACATGGACTGGACCTGAGCATAAAATTTATTTAAAAGGGAAGTGGTAAATCTTATGCTAGGCAAAGAAGAATGGAAGTAATAGATTACAAAACATTCCCAACTCTTTTACCTTGCATATCATGTCCTTTTATTGATTGCGAGTAAGGGTTGAGGGGATCTCAGCTTCTTCAAAATAAGGCCCCTCTTAACTCTAAGGAGCTAACTAAAAGGGCCATCTGATCTAACATTCATAGTGAATCTTATCACATGTGGTTCTATTTTAAATATCTTTAAGAACCAATCGGCCATGGTTTTCAAGCCAGGACTGAACTCAGAAAAAGATGATTCATAGTAACATTGACTTACATTTGTGGTAGAAGGACTAAAATTTTCTCTTATTTTATTTTATTTTATTTTATTTTTTTATTTTTTAAAGATAAAAGAGACAGAGACTTCATTTGGATATAATAAGGATTTAAAAGAATGAATTCATATTTTGACAATAAGCTCAGATTTGTTAGAACCATAAAGATATAATCCACGGAATGAGCAAATGTAATGTAATAACTGAAACTAACATGACTATGTTCAATGAATAATTCGAAATCCATGTAATCCTTCAATCACATAAATATAGACATTATATCCAAGCACCTAAAATTAACACATGAACCAAAATCCCAGAAATTTCACTACAAGATTGAAGCTTAATAAACATACACGCACCTGTAGCAATTGCCTTATAAGAATTTCCTTGAAACAGTGTGAATCGAGTTTAGGATCAGAACCTATCATTGAATAGAACAGTATGCAAGTATCAAACAGAAACAGGAATCCAAATGACCAAAAAGATAAATGCAGTGAAAAATAAAGCTAATACCTATTCATATTCCCCTTGCACTAGCTGTAAAGATCAATCAAATCCTTCTTCTAAAAATAAAATCCCTTCTAGTTTGCTTTGAACACTTCGATATCAGCTTCAGTGACCTGCAATGGATGTGTTGTTAGAAATGTGCGGAAAGTACAAATGACATTGTGTTATATCAAAAGACAGCGTAAAAAAGATGAAAACATTGTACTCTTTTATTATATGACCCAAAAATATGAAAATATCCCAATCTTTTAATATATGACCCAAAAATATTCATGCAAATCTGAACAGCATCACCAACAACATCCTCCTCATGGAAATGCAATCAAAATAAGCACCACTTGAACAAAGGAAACATTTTATGTTCCAAAGTATCTAAAAGCCTCCAACTTGATCTTCCAAAGTAGTTGCGCAAGGTACGGAGATTGCAATTATTCTAATTGAGAATCATCTACCTCTACATTTCTACTTGTCATTTCTAATAAAGAATCCTATTTATCATACTGAACAATAGAATGCATTAAAGCGACTGAATAAAAAAAAATTAAGAAAATCACATCAGACACTCACATCATCCTCAAAGCAACCCGTCTCTTCAGTGTTTTTTTGGAAGCAGAAAAACGGAAAGTACCAGAAACTCAGAATAAAAAAAAAAGAAAAAAAAGGAATACCTTTGTGGGTTTGAAGCTCTTTTCTTATAACTGTTACAGCATTGGTGTTGCGCCTCAATTCGTGATGTTTTCATCGGTAACAATCGAAGGTGGGGTTGTTGGTTTGGGTGAAGAAGAAGAAGAGGAGGACCCGAGCCTACAAACAGAATCACAAAAAGCAACATAAACACAAAACCCATCTGCAAATCCAAAACCACAAAAAAAAAAAATAAAACACCCATACTTAGAAAGCAGTAAAACTCACCAGGAAATGCCAACTTTTCTGGGTAAAAAAATTGGATCGGATCGAATTGAAAAATCTAAGAAGTTGTAGCGGCTGAGTGATTTTTCCGACAAGAAAACACTGTTGTTGATAATTCGTGAGAGAAAGATGGAAGGTTGGAGGGCTAGAAAAATCGCCATTTTGGAGACAGAGAAAGCTAGAGTTGAGAGTAGAAGAAACTGAGAATGGCAAGAGAGAGATACAAAAGCAGAGAAGAAGTCGATTTATAGAAAAATTAAATCAATTTTTTTTTAAATTTTTTTAATTTTTAATTTTATTTTTAAATTTTTTATTATTAATTTTGTATTATTTTTATAACGTTACTGATGTCATCATGACATCAGCCTTGTATCAACGCCCTCACGCACTCGGGTTGTTGATTCCCGCCTCCCCTCTCACGCGGGCTTCACCCGAGCCCAATCTCCGGCATGGGCTGGAGCAAGGGAGGGAGGCAATTGCAATTAAATGGTCCCTGGTCTATTGGGCCATCACCCCCGCTGGACTTGCTCTGAAAGGCTCGTGACTGGGAACGGCAAAAGCAACTTTTTACTATAGAAAACCTAAACAATATGTTATCCAAAGAAGAAATTGAGGGCATTTTCGCCCCTTCACTGTTAATGAACAATGCTTAAAAATTAAGTTTTAGTATATGTATAATGTCCCCAACCTCTAATCAATCTGGACGTAAAACGAAAAAAAGACGTGTGCATGAAAAGATAATTAAGAACAAATATAAAAGTACAAAGAAAAAAATGAATGATAATTAAGGATAAAGTTTAATTCTCTGTTATTGCTGAGCCGCATAAGATAACATAAGATAAGATAAGATTTTAATGTTAAATTCTCAATTATTAATATGCATATGTGTCTCCGTGGGAACCATTCCTGAAAGGATTAACATGTAGTACCTTTTGTTAAACAGAACCATCTAACTTTTTTAGATTATTTATTTATTGTTTTTATTGTTTTTTTTTTAATGAACCATCTAATTCAACACATAATCTGCCAATACATGTATTTTCTCCTTTTGGGTACATCATGCAGTGGCAATCTCTCTCGCGTGCCAACTTCGTTAGTAATTGTCATGTCCTTAGACAGGTGTGGAATAAATCATATGTAAAAAAAGCAGTGCCTACTGGTACTGCCTAGCCAGTTCGGTGCTGCAAACTGGTCATCGCCATGTCCATAAAAAAATTAGGCATGCATGGTGACAAGCTTCGTACATCATTTCATCCATAACAAAAGCAAGAATCGTGGACCACAATGAGAGATCGGCCCACTCACTGAGTCACTGTTTGTCCTGATTAAGCGCTCAGCATAACGAACTTTGCAGCGGATGGTATTTTTGATACTAGAAGAAAATTGTGATTCTACTATAAAATTAATTAGTAATACAGAAAGTATCCTAATTTTGTAATGGGGTTTTTGAACATTAGTCTTAAAAAAAATAAAAAAATAAAAAACCTGGTGTTAGATTACATATTGATTTTAATCCTTTCAAGTACTTTTATTAAAATTCATACTCTATTTTTGTTATTCAATGTGTAATTTTATTTAATGTTTCCACCTTAATTTTGATTTTGTTAGTATGTACATTTTAGTTCTTCCAATCGTAAGTAAACCTAAATGAGAAAACACTAAAACAAATCAGTAAGGGTGGGCGTAGGTTGGTTTGGGTCAGTTTTGGGCCAAAACCGAAACCAAACCGACCTAGTTGGTTAATTGGGCCAAATTGCAAACCGAAACTAACCAAGTTGGGTCTAAAACCGATCAGCTTGGTTAACCAACAGTGACGGGTTGGTTTGGGTCGGTTCTTATTTTTGTTTGAAGATGAAAATACATAACAAATTTCTCTTCAAACGCTACAGAACGTAGCACCAATATAAGTGATTGCTCAAAGGAAAACACAAATGAAGTAGCCCAAGGAGAGCATCAAAGCAGCAACTACTGCCTCTTCCAAATGGTCCCCCTTATTCTTCTCCAGAGGGACTCTTAAACTAATTAGGTTTTGCTTTCATGTGGTAGAAACACAGTTACTTGTAAATAACTAACCATTTATATTACTACACGTATTAATTATGATTAAAAAATAAAATAAAATATATTTGGATTTGGTTCGGTTAACCACACCTAAGAATTTTGGGAACCGATTGCCATACTAATTAAGGTTGGTACGGTTTGGTTAACCACCTAAAATTAAATTGACTTGTAAAAAAAAATTATGTACCGAAATATATTATAATGAATTAGTGTAAACTTTGAAAAAGAAAAATCATGAAATTTCAAACTAGAACCTATAGGGACTAAACTTAATTTTGAATCTTATACCAGGCACTAATCTAAACTTCATCTTATTAGGGATTAAAATATAGTTTTCTATTTATTTGTTATAAGCTCATGTAAGGTCATTTCTCTCACTAATGTGGAATTCATACTTAACACGCTCTTTCACGAGTGACGAAATTTCAAACCAAACACATGGATGTGAATGAGGTGACGTGGAGCGCGTGTATGAAAGAAAAAGAATTAGCAAAACTAAGATTATTTGAGCAACATACATAGCATAATTAACAATTAAAAGGTGAAAGCTAACTCATATGCATTCAAAAACAAAATTTACTCATAAAATTCAAAGCTTAGTAGTGTGGTGAACCTTGACTCAACTCAAATTCACAAGAGAGCTAAAAACCATTACAACTTTGTAGATCCTGTTTGCATTTGCAAAGGCTATTGCCCCCAAGTGATGGTCTTCATTCATTTGCTCTCCTTTGCTCCTTTGGAACTCTAGCTTCTTGGATTTGGATGGTGAAATAGGAATCTCCAAAGTTTCTAAGAAAGGAAGCCTCTAAGTCTCCACACCAAAGTAGGATGTAAAGAAGAGATGAGTGACATGGGAGGAAGATATAGTGAAAGCAATCTTCCTCCTATGTGGCCAGCTATGGTGTAGGGGGACGAGCGGTTTGTTTTCTCTCGATCTCTTTTTTCTCACATAAAACCCAAAGTGAGGACGGAAGTATAAAGTCTCTTATATAGGGCTCACATATAAGTGAACACCTTATCCTTTTCTTCATGGCTGGTTTTGGACAATCCTTGGGCCTTTGGGCCATTTGTGATTTGGATCAAATTAGCAAATTAATCCCAATGGGCCATGAAACCTGAAACTAACCTTAGGCCTATTTAGAACTTATACGTTCGATTAATTAACATATTAATTAATCTCATTATAAACAATTAACCTACTTAATTGTTCTTAATCAACTACATTGTATTCTTCAGTCTCTACCTTACACGGTGTACGTCCATTAGGTTCTAATTAGTGAGGTAGTGAGCAATTAGAACTCTTACTAATCGATTGTGAATTAAAACTGTCTTTCAATTTTTCCTTTGATTATGATTAGTGATTGCTAATATTCAAGGCTTCCACAAGCCAAAAGTGACACCTAGTAGTATGTCATGGCTACACAAGCTAAGTAGAAGAGGTGGAGAATGTATTCAGCTTGGAATTACAACGCAATATGATCATTCTCTATATCAATTGTCTTGATCACATCGCTTGGTTGATAGTTTATTTATGTCTACCATCCAATGTGATCGTCTTGTCTATATGATTATTGTGAATGTGATTTGGAATGTACTTTATAATCATTTCTTGTACTCTGCCGAGAGACCTTTGAATCATATCATAGAGTATTATCCTTCAATCATTTTAAGACTAGAGATCCCTTTTGGTACACTTACATGCCTCTGTGGATAAATCAGTTATCCTAACAATGTGTGGACAAACCATAAGGTTGTGATGCATCATCCAATGCTCAATGACGTATCCACAAGACAATTGTGGAATCTCAGATCAAATGACTACTTTGCATTATCTAACTAGTCAGTTCTCATATGACATGAGTACGTGAATTCATGTTTGATCGTGTTCAATGAACTCATTCTCTATTGAGTACCTTGTTAATGATGGGCACTTTAAGACCCATAAAGAAGTACCAAATTGGGAAAGGGCCCAAGGGCTGGCAAGCTTGGAATAGAACATGTCCGAGTGCTTCAATGCCAACCAATTGACATTTACATTGAACACTGACCGATGAAAGCATATGGGTAGACTGACAACTTTGATGCACGAGTCTTCATGAAAAGGTCTGCTCATATGTCATTCAAACTAATGGATGACTTGAAGTCAAAAGGCGAGGACCCGGATGGGACACAAAGTATGTCGGAGTGGCATTCGGACAAATTAAGCTGAGTAACCGAGGCTGACTTAGAGAAATGGACTACTTTATTTTGGGCAGGAGTGCACTGGACTGGATACCCATATCTTTGTCGTTGAATGCCAAGCTAGCTGGCGAAAAGGTGTCAGGGGTCAAGCCTACAAAGAGTGGTGCATTAAATGCTTGTTGGGGAAAGCCCAAGGGACAGGGGTTCGCTAAAAGCCTATATAAAGGGGTTGCAACCCACAATATTGAGGTCAGACGATTTGAGAAAGAGAAATTGATGTACTAGCTTACGGTTAATCAATAAAATGTTGGGAATATGCCTAACTCAATCGTAAGATGATACTTTACAGAAATTTCATATGTTAAACTAAATTAGTTCAGTGTAAAGGTAAAGATTATGGTTTAAAGCCCTCCCATTAAATGTTATACGCTTAAACGATAACTCCAAGGAATATGTAGTTAGGAGAATGTGATCTAAAGAATTAAGATTCACCAGAACATTCTATTTCATACACATATCCTAAATGTTTCTGATCATATGACTGCTAATATAGCATTAATGATTCTTGTAGATTAGTACATATTATGTCTTCTCTCGAGAAGAGTGACTGATCTCGAGTCATTGGTGTGAATGACACTAAGCCAAGTATGTATGTGCTTAATAGAGAGTGCATCCACTGAATGCGATCAACAAGGAGTTCTCATACTCATGTCGCATGAGAACTCATAATTGAATAATGCAAAGTAGTCTTCTGACTTGAGACATCATAGTTGTCTTGTGGTTAGGTCCTTAATCTATGACTATGTTAAAGGCACTCCATTAGATATTGTCTATGCATAGTTAGGGCTAAACTACTTAATCATGGAGACGTGTGAATGTGCAACAAAGGATTTCTACCCTTTAAACCGTTGAGGGAGAATACTTTATGATATGATTAAGAATCTCTTACCAGAGTATGAATGAGATATAGTTCTAAATCGCATTCAAGG